ATTTTAATGTGCTTGGATTGTGTCTTTAGTCTGCTCGAAATTTCATATTTTTCTAGACAGGTTACTTTGTAAAGACTAAAGGTCAGTTTTATATTATTGGATATGGTAACATGAAAGCACATGTGCTGCATCATTGTAACTTCTGTATTGTTTACCAGACAAGGCTGAAAGGTGAATATAATAAAAATAATAGATAAATAAATGTATTATAATATGAGATTTGAGCTATTTAGTCTAAACATTTATATTTTCATGTTATAATTTGTTTTCATTCTATTAGGTCGTCAAGAAATTGTCACTATTTTTAGGTGAAAAAACCTGAACAACTTGTATATCAAAACAAAACATTTATTATTGATGATTATGTTCCATCTTACCATCAGGTTAATGCCATGTTTAAAGAAATCACTTGGCTTTGAAGCAAAAAACAAGTCGATGTCCTCTTTAACACCTTCCACATTTACATACCTTTTCCCATTAAGATGGTGTTGCACTAAATGAAAAAGATAGTAATCTGATGGTGCCATATCTGGAGAATGAGGTTGATGGGGAGGACTTCCCAATCCAACTCCATAATCTTGTGTTGCGTGAAATGTGCCGCATGTGGACGATCATTGTCATGAGGAAGAACACCTTTTCGATTGATGAGTGAAGGGCTTGATTTAAACGTTTCAGTTGCTGAATATAGATCTCTGCATTGATAATCCATTGTGGATTGAGGAGATTGAAATGAATTACTCTTTTGATGTCCCACCAAATGCAAAGCATCACTTTCTGTGGATGGAGTCCAGGTTTTTGGGTTTGAATTGGTTTTGTCTAGGACTGTGCTATTGTTTTTGGCATTTAATATTTGCATAGAGAATCCATTTTTCATCACCGGTGACAATTATGTCCAAAAATGGTTCATGCACATTACGTGCCAGAAGAAACAAAGCAACGTTCACATGTTGGAAACGATGATCATCAGAGAGTTCGTGAGACACCCAAACACCTTCTTTAAGGAGTTTTCCCATATTCCTTAAATGTTTACGTATTGTTTCATGAGAGACGTGCAATTTCAGGGCCATTTCACAAATGTGTTGCCTTGGGTTAGACTCAACAAGAGTCTTCAGAGCATCAATATCAATTCCAACATGTTGTGCCCTGCCATCATAGTTTTTAAGGCTAAAGTCACCTGACGAAATTTGCTGAACCATTGTTGATACTTACGAACGTTCAAAACATTTCCATAAACTTCTTTGATATTCCTTGTGGATACAGAGACGTTTCCCTTCTTGTATTCAAACAGCATTTTATGCCGAATGTGTCTTGTCATGTGCCATCACTACAAGGGATTAGAGTATACTAAACTTTACACATTATATAGGTTACACTAACGTGACGTTTAGGCGGATCTAAACGTTTAACTATTATACTATTTTTGGGGGTGGTTAATGAAAGTGTTCCAAAATGCGACATTAAATTCTTGACAACCTAATAGAATGAAAGAGGCATAATTTATTTTTATTTCCTAATTTTTTATGGTGGTTACGAGATCGGTCAAATCTACCGAACCTGTACAGAGAATAATTACTGAAAATAACAGATAAGATATAAAGTGTTTTCTTAAGAAACTTTTGATAACTATCTCAACATTATAAATATTTTGCATGTGAAATTTGAACATTTTCTGATGCATAAAAGTATTTTTAAGCTTAAAATGAAAATTACTTTGCATGTTAGATAGGAAACATGCGAAAAGAAAAAAACTTGTGAGAAAAAAATTGGTTTACAAACTTTAAGACTTAATAAAAAAAAAAATTGATATTTTGCATAAGAAAACATTGTAATGTTTACTGATAATCTGACAAATTTCATTAACCTACACTTACTAATTTAAAAGTTATAGCATGAAAACCAAAATGGTTATGAGGTCAGTCCCATGGACCTATCTCGTGTTGAAAGAGTTAACTGACCTTGTAACCACCATGGAACTATGACAATATACAAACTATAACTATATAAGTGTATCTTCATGAAATCTGGTAAGCTTTTAGTAAATGTTACAAGTCTGTTGTAGACAAAAAAATAATTTTTTTTTAATGAGCTTTTTGTTTCTAAATTTTAGTCTCTGAATTTTTGAAGCCTTTACTGATGCAAGATGATTTTCATGCTAAGAATAAAAATATTTTTTCCTCTTCCAGTTTCCATATTTAATTTGCATGAGCCCTAAAATCTCTTAAATGAATAAGAAAAGTTTATTTTTTTTCAGTGAAACTTTATATTTTATCTGTTATTTTCACTATCCTAACAGTTTACATAAGCTCATCTCATTTAACCACCACATAAAAAAAAAGGAGAAGAAAATGCAAAATCTGAATTACCCTTTTCCCTTTCTATGATGTCTGCACATTGTAACAAATACTTACCACTATTTATTCCTAAAGCCAAAACTAATAATTTTTTATTTACAATTGCACTTAGACCTTCTCAAAGTATGGCAAAAGCCATTTATCGTAGCCAGACAGCCTTGTGTAGACAAATTGAGTTACAAGCATGCCAAAATCAAATTACAATTATGTTATGCAGTTATGCATGCAAAGATATTGGGAATCGTGAGAAATTTTTTCCTTTAAGTTTTTTTTATCTAACTATTAGGTTTCTGATTTTTATATTTTAGTTAGTTTTATGACAATAAATAAAAATATACATGAAAAACAATTTATTAATTACATTTTGAATCTTGTCTTTTTTAAGCTTTTGTACTTGTAAGAAAGAAGTTCTTGATGCTCACCAGGCCTATTTTTTAGCTGTCTTACTGTCTTTTTAGAATACAAAATATTGCCCACCCCACACACACAAATTGAATGTCCTAAAATTAGTATAACTTAACTGAATATAAAACTGGACTGAAATAATTCCAATAACTGGTCAAGCTGAGCTCCAAACCTATCATCTGAACAATTCTAGCCTTGTAGCATTCATGCTTGCTGTTTCAGTTGTAGGGACATTATAATGTGACAGCCAATCCCATTGTTCATTGGTAAAAGAGTAGCCCAAGAACCGACAGTGGATGATGTTGAGATAGCCATTGAATATCTTTGTGCAAAATTCTAAACAATCTGACAAACAAATTAGTTGACCAACTTTAGCAGCATGTTTTAGATAAAGTTTAATTAAGACGTATATACTAACATTTTTACATATTAACTGAAAGACTTTTGGGCAAGATGAAACGTTTTTTTTACTAATTTTGTAATGAACTCGCAACATGTATTTTACCTTTAAACACTTTTCTGGTGGTGAGAAGTTTAACACTTGAGACTTTTGATGTTTCTGTTGTGTGTTCTAGTTTAGACTCTGATGCTAAAAGCAAGACTTTGAAGATAAAGTTCTTCACTGTAATGGTAAACAAAACCTTTAACAAAAGGCTGATAAATTGATAAATATTTCTTGTAAAAACATAATAAATCTATTTTGATCCCAGTAATATTATGATTTTATAAGTGGTTGTTTGCCAAATAAAATAAAAGAACTTATAAAACTTAAATTTTCAAATTTCATATGCTAGAGTGAATTTAACACCTGAAAAGTGCTCACTGGTCTGGAGGAGGTAAATTTGGGCTGAAAGTTATTGCTGGTGAAATGAAAAATTCATAATACAGTTTTGCTGTTAGAAAATACAGGTTTAAAAAATCATATGATATATGTTACATTTTGAGTAAAACTGTACTTACTACATATGAACCAGTAAAGTTATGAAATTGTATAAAGTTAAAAGTTTAATACTTTGCCTCCCAAAGTGTGTGATCTGTTTACAGAAGCAACGTAAGAAAGAAAGAAATTTAAAACATCAGAAGTTTCTTAAAATTTATTAAATCATTCTTTACCATCTTTTTCCTGTAATTTTATAATATTTCTCTGAAATGAAGACTTAGCACTTGTTATTGTATCAAAAAACTGATGTCAATATCATAAAGAAGTTTTACTGTGCAAGTTATGGGATTTTCTTGTTATAGCCTATTTTTTTCTTCAGTTTGCCAAACAACCATGGGATTGGGTTGCCCTGCACACAGAAGAAAATAGATAATAAATACAATTAATTATTATAACTAAAATATGTCTATGTATATTTGTAAGTTAAGTATCTTGTGACCAATTCCATAGCATTTTCCTTATTTTTTTAAGTATGGATAATGTTAATAAAGGAATAATGAAATGATTACAAAAAATCATTCATACTTTATTTGATAAATGAAAAGACATAATTTCAAAAGTAAAGTATGTTTTTTAACTAAACATCTTAAGAATTATTTTGAACAATAAATGTCAATAACTTATTAACATCAACAAAAATGCCTACTCTTCTCACTTTAAGTGTTGCTGTCCATCCTCAATAAATAAACATAAATAACTTGAATTTCTTTAAAAAAAACATTACTGAGGCAAAATTTTCTTCATATTTGGCATAAATTAGCTCTAGAAGCACTAACTGAATGAAGTATAACAAAGAAATAAAGATATAGGCTTTCCCAAAAATTCAACTTAGTGTAGTACTGTGGGGTGTTTTCATGCTGGAGCAAGAACAAAACACATTTTGTTCTCAATGTGGCTGAAGTATAAACGGGAGGAACTAGGTGCACACACTATTGGGGATTTCGGGAAGGTGCTGTGTACAACAATTGCACTAGTGCTACCATTTCTTAGTGACGATGTTAACAAACATGCTTGGGGTTCGAAAACACCCCATGTGAATAACAGAGTTAAAATGTACTAGCAATATTACAATTATTGAAGTTGAAATTTTTTCATAAGGAATTTTATGCATATAAACTAAATATATTTTTTTTTGATACAGAATCTCCTCAGCTGCAAATGGTAGAAGAACCAAAAACAAGTGGTGGTGCCTATCGACCTCCTCATATGCGTAATACTGCTGCTGCTGTCACTCCTTCAAAGCGTAACCCTAAATCTGCTCCTGATGTGGGCAGTGAGTTACACTTCCCTTCTCTTTCAGCAGCAGTTGATGCTTCAAAAGCTGGCATGAGGTTTGTTTTATAAAATTTATAATTTGTCACAGATTACTCAAAATAATAATAATTGATTTTTAGCTATTCTTACTGTCATGGTCTATTGTATAACATATGTAATATAATTATGATAATAGCAGTTATACATTTTCGTTTAAACTGAAATTCTGGCACTTTCATAGAATATGCCAATACCCATTGTCATTCAAATGAAGAAGTGTGGATAATTTTCTTTCGATTTCAATTTTTAACAGCTTTGGATAAGTATTAGAAATCTACTGGTCATTGTTACCTGAATGAATCAATTGCTTCAAAATTGTGGTTTAAAGAAGTTAATATTTGTTTCAGTGAACAAAAATGGGGTGAGAAACAGTTTCAGTCAGTTAAACATGGCCTCAAATCAAAGGATGATATCCGAAGTTCTGCTCCTCAGCTGGATTTGGAAAATAAGTATGCTGCACTCCATCAAGATCTAAACTGAACGTTAAATTTTGTAGATGTTGTTAATCATATGGACCTGCAAAGTTATGAAATTGTATACAGGAAAAAGTTTAATCCCTTGGCCTCCCAAAGTCTGTGATCTGTTTACAGAAGCAAAGAAAGAAATTAAGAATGTCAGAAATTTCTTGAAATTTGTTAATTCATTCTTTAGCACCTTCGTCCTGTAATTTTGTAATGTTTCTCTGAATAAGAGACCTGGCACAGCTTAGTGTATAAAAAAACTGTGTTGGCAGTATCATAAATAAATTTTGCTGTGCAAGTTATGGGATTGATAAATGAAGTTGTCTGCCTCAGAACAGTGTCAACAATGGTTTTGTTAATTTCTCAAATTTAAATGAAATTACTGAAAGATCATGTCTTTGCTTGTTTTGTGCAGACATGCTACATAATAAATGAAGTACATAGTTATTGGTTTGCTGGTGATTCTGGAAGTGTGACTATTTTTCTTATTAATTTCATGTTTTATGTTATTTTTATGCTTATCTATAAAAAAAATTCAGTCCAGAGCTTTTTTCATTATTATTCTATGTAAATGAGATTACAAAATCAGTATGATTATTTGTAGTAACAAACTTTGATTCTATTATTCTATACTAACTGTGTATTTGAGAAAAATTGTGTGAAATATTACTGGTTTGATGTATTGTTTCTATTTGGAAAACTGAACTATAGAATTGCAGTCAATGTTTACCTGCTTTATATTCTTCCTAACTTGGAGTTAAATTATATTTTTAAAAATATTTGTTTCTCCATGAAATAGATGTTCTTAGAGAGAAATTTAGTGATTTTACAAATTTTAAATTCTTATGAAACTAAGAATTAATATTTTTCATAAAGATGTACCTAAAGAAATTTAATACTTTCAAATAATCTTTATCATAATCTATTTTGTTTGAAAGCTGCTGTGCTTATTTTATTGATTTGTTACATTTCCTATAACATAATAATTTCAAATTTTGCTGGCAATATACATTGAAATGCTTGAACATAGTTATGAATTTCTGTTTAAAGAATAGATATAGATTTATTGGATGAGTTCTGTTCATTCTTAGTTTCTAAAACAAGTTTAACATTTTGGCATAGTTGAAATTGCATTAAAGAAACTTTTTTGTTAAAACATAGTTTTAAAAATTCCTGAAGGAGCTAAACCAAAAAAATGAGTGATTATTTAAAAAAAAATTAATATTCTGGCATTTCTGAATTAATAGAATAGGGCTTAAGATATGCTTTATTGGAGAAAATGTTTCTATGTGGTTTATAATATTTGTTGAAATTTGAATTTGAGTGGACCTAAAATTTCTGATTTAAATATTTTGGATTATCAGTTTTTGTTAAAAACAAAATTGAACAATATACATGATTGTTAAGATGTTCACAAAATTATCGTATTGAGAGAACATCAGTAATGTGAAACAGCTTTTTATAGGTTTATGTTATTTCTTTTCTAAGATTTCAAGTTTAGTTTAAAACTATGGGGGAGGGGGACTTAACCATCTTACAAGAAATCAAGAAATACTCAAATTATTTAGCTAAATAGAATAGGATATAATGGCGAACAATTTTAATAAGTTTAAATACAGTATTTGTTTCTTAGAAGGTTATTAAAACTGGACAAATGTGAGGCTTTCTCTTTAGTTTTTGCAGTGTAGGTATGCGTATAAAATGAAAGGTATATCGATAACATAGTATTCTTGGACCTTTGGTGAGGAATATTTTGCGTATTTCCATTTTCAGTCTCTGTTAATATGTTATGTTAATTGGTGGACATATTATCATACAGCAATAGTGAAGACTTCAATAACAATCACATTTTAAAAAAAATATGTGAATTTGCAGAGAAAGGTTCAATAAGATTACATCTGTTACACTATTTTGGGGTATGATTAAATTTTTTGTATAAAAACTTATTTTTATCATATGTTTATAAACTAGATCTTAATGACAGTAAACTGTTTATTTTCTACTAATGTCAGTACAAATCATACCCAAGTGGTATTGGTAATGTGTACATGATTATCATTTAGTCACTCATTTAAACAATAGATTGATGTTTTAAGAATTAATCATAAAAAGTAATATGTCATACTTTTAAAGCAGTTTACATTTTGTAATGTAATTTTAAAGTGTTTTTCATTATATAAGACAAATCCTAAAATGACAGAAGAATTAGAGATGATAAAATAATTGTATCTTATCAACAGTTGGTTTATTAAAATGATTTGCATATATTTATTGTCAATGGCTTTGTTTAATGAAATTAAATGCTGTAAATATATGTTTTTTTTAGCTTTCAACAATCTGTATATTTTTGAATGTCTATCAGTTATATTGAATTTTTTTCTTTAATTGTGTTTGAAAGTTAGAATCACTATAGGAGAGAAATTTGAAATATATGGGTAAGTGAAGTCAGTATAAGCACGAACTATAATTTTTATTTGCATAAAATTATAGTTTATGCTTACACATACTTCCCCATATATTATGTTTTGAATTGGTTTCAAACATGATTACAGAGGACTTGTGTTTTATTATTAATTTTCTTAAAAATGGGGTACAACACATTTTATGTTTTATTTATTATGATAAAATAAATCTGAAGTACTACTGATATTTACTTATCTTTAAAACTTTGTCAAATATTGAATAAGACAGTTTTCAAATTAGGCTTCTTCTTTTAAATACATACTTAAATTATACTTTGACATCGTGTATACCCATGTAATCCATTGGCCTATTAATTATACTTGTGTATAAGCAACCCATGGATCTAATAGTCTGACCATACAAATAATTAAGTAAGGTGAGAAGAATATCACATGCAAGTTAATATTTAGTTGTTTTAATGCATTTTTGTGTAATGTGATAAAGTTTATAATATAATTTTCTAGAGGAGTTGAGCAACATATCAAGCATATTCCGGAGTGCTGTTGATATGTATTTAACTTGATATTATAAAACGTCACCTGCTACAATACAAGTCATTTTTGTATAAATTATATCTAATATACAGTGGAACAGTAATGTGCAACTTTGTTTTGTTTAAATTCATTTATATTCAGCATGATAAATTTGTGGAGGAAGTGAGTATTAGAATGCTTATACACCATGTACGGATTCCATAAATGTTGCTAGAGGTAGTGTTTTTTACCATCAGACTTGAGGTGTTTGTGGAATTCAGATTCACAAACCATCTGCAGCAGCTGTGATGCAATCACCCAGAGTTGGCAAAAATTAAGCAGCATAAAGAGGCAGATAGTCAATCAGTGAATAGTAGATGCTACCAAGGCATTATTAGCAACATCTTTAATCAAAACCCAAGGCTGAATTATATTTGTGATGGCACAGACCAAAAAACCATCTAGGCTTTTAATGCAGCACCTTTGATAAATGCTAGAAACTGGGTTTCGATACCCGTGGTGGGCAGAGCACAGATAGCTCATTGTGTAGCTTTGTGTTTAACTTCAAATAAACCTAAACCTTTGATAAATAGTCATACTATCAGCCCATTGGGCTTCAGTGTTGAAAATTATTAATAACTTAAATGCTGAGGTAGATCCATGATATGAACACCCTGAGGGCAAAACCATAGATTCACTCTTTCAATGTATGTATAGCAACTATTTTTAATTCCATGGGCCCAGGCCAAGTTTTCAACATGAATTTTGCAGAGATATAATGTTTCAGGTTAATGTCTTGTGGTCTTCAGTGACCAACTGTTATTATTGAGGATATTGGTCAAATTCATTAAAATCGTGGTTTGGTTAACACTATAGTTATGGTCATTCCAAGAAAACCTCATAATATTTGGGTCCATTGGTAAAAAAAAATGATGTATCCGTAAATATGGAGTCTATTTCAGTCTATGAACTCTTCCAGGTATATAATTTAGTGTTTGTTGGACCAAAGTGAAAGCTAAGCTGCACAAATCTTTTTAACTTTACACAGAGACTGAAGGTGCATGAACCATTGAATAAACTTGTCTACTGCCTTGAACCAACATGAAGCTTGACGAGAAAAAAGGTAATAAAATGTAAAGAAGATATAATTGTTCTACACATACAGACAGTGAATGATCATTACCTGTGGTGAAACTTAAAAAAAAAGACACCATACTGCTGTATAAATTTTATGAAGATTGCAAGTTTATTGATACAGAACTTCTGTGCATACAAGGTACTGTAACTAGTGGTGTTGTCCATAAAACATAACATTTATTTGTACTTTATATACAACACATCTCATTGCAATGGCTTACAAACTTTCAGTGTCTAGAGGGTACACTTACTTATTGGAACTTACATTATATGAATGTAATTTTATCATGAGAACAGAATAGGATAAGAACACTAATGTAAGATTTTAAACTATCTGTGTAGTATAATGTTTCAATGTGTCCAAATTTTGCACATTTGAAGTTGGAACTACAGTATGACCACATAGCTTGTGCATCTTCTAATTAAAATCACAGAATAACACAGGCATATTCCACTTTATTATAGAAATGAATAAAAACCTTGTAACCCAAGAACATTTGAAAGGTGGACCTTTCTTCTTTACCCCTGAAGAAGAAAAGTCCATCTTTCAAAAGCGCTTAGGTTATAGGGTTTTTATTCATTTCTGTCAAGACTTCTTGAACCTGCGTGTTTTTCTAACATCATGAATGTACCACTTTATTATAGGTAAGTTGAAGAACTGTGTCCATGTCCTCAAATTCAAGAAGCACATATATTGGAGCCAGTTATAAGTTTGCAATTCTGTAAGTAAGGTGTATTTGAGGTATTGTAAATTTATAAAGACAATTTCATTTAATAGTTCTTGGGAACTATTTGTTAGTGCTTGAAAAGGAAGGATCATTAGAAGATACAGAGAATCAGGTCAATCTTAAATTATATTGCAGTGGTCATAATATGAACTACATGAGATGCTTCTGGTGTTAGCATCGTGCACACTGTTCCTATAACAAGATCTTCAATATACATTAGATTTAAAATCATAATAATATTCAACGTTAAACTGGTACACTGTTAAAAACCTTTTATTTAGGCCTATCTATGGGCTTCAAAAAGTTGACGACTCTACTTTTTGAAGGTCATAGATAGGCCTAAATAAAATGTTTTTAACTGTGTACCAGTTCAACGTTGTATATTATTTATGATTTTAAATTTATACACATGTGCCAAAATACTATAAATACATTAGATTGTTATTGATAAGCTTGTCACCCACTAAAACTTAAAAAAATATATATATATTAGTCAAAACTTTTCTAAATGCACAAAAGCCTACATTATCATCTGTTTTACAATTCAGAGTGTGGTAACAGTTTGATGGATAATTTTCTCACATTCAAAGTGCCTACGGACTGATATATTGATCACTACTCTAATTCCACATAGTCTTAGTGACTGAGAAACTATTGACTAGAGTATGACAGTAAACTTAAAAAGAGTTGTATGTAGACAGAATATTACAAAAGCCATAAATAATTTACTCTTTGTAGGAGGAAAGGTAAATGTGATTGTGGTACTTCCATATATAGTAAAATCCAACCAGAATGTATTTAATTAGACTATATTCAGTGCCATGAAGAGCTGGGATACTAATCTACAAATTATAGCAGGTTGAAACGGACAGAGCACAAAGATAAGTTAGTAAGCTCGAAAAACAAGAAAGTGATGAAAAGTCCCAGAAGATGTAGAAGTGTTGGCAACAGTAAATGGTGTGACAAGAGGCCCTACCTTTTCTGAGTACTACAAGAAAAATATGAGAAATCTGCAATTAAAGTCACTTGACTTCAAATTTCATGGCTACGACTAATGAAGACAACTAATATAAAATTTCTTATGCTATTGACTTTGGAATATGGATATTAAAATTGATGCAAGATGATGTTGTCATTGTAATAGTTATACAAAGTCATATTGACTTGCATATGTGGCAGAAGGGATGACAAATTAGAGTTGTGAGAGACCTTTCCAGCCAGAGGTGTTTACCAGAAATCACTGGAAAGAAATTTCAATATTTATCCCAGTAAAATATAAAAGATATGCCAAACTCCTAAGCATTAAGAACATATTGTTGCGTCAGCGAGATCACGTGACTAGTATCACGCCACCTCCTTCTAGAAATATCCTGTTCCTTCGTGAATTGTCGGGAGACTACTAGATTAGGGGTAGTCTTGTATATATAAGACCGGCCACGAAACGACGGGGAGGTAATGAGTAATTGAATGTATGTGGACAGAATATTGTTGGCCACGTGAGACGTGAGTTATATCGTTTGTTATAGAGCGACTGTTGAAATTAAGTGTATCGTAAAGTTGTATTCGGAAAGAATAAACCAGTTTTATTTAAGAAAGGACTTATGTCGCTAAAGTTTAGTCGGAAAGAATTTACGGAAAATTAATTAACGAACGGAGACGTAACAATATCTTCAAGAGCTATTATGCGTAGGTACATTACATTTATTTAACACCAAATGTAAAGCCTAGCAGATACAAGTTTTTCAGTGATTTTAGCCAGGTGATTTAAGGGTATCAGCAGTTTATAGATGGCAGTAGTTCTATTTCATTCAAAAGCAACGTAATAAATAAAAAGTATGGTATTTT